AGGCTGAACATTTATCTTGCACGCAACTTAATATATGGTTACAGAAAGCCTCATGTTATTTCAAATGTTACATAAAACTGAGCTGCGGCTAAGCTCAATTTTATGTAATTTTTAAAATTAAAAATAATTCAGAATAAAATCTTATAAACAGTATATTTACCTGTTTAACAATCCTTTAAACATGATGATGATATTATGTAATAATCCTTTATAATATTATAATCTTCAAATAAAAAAGTGAGTAATACTTATGTCAGAAAAAAATATTCATAATTATAATTTTTTAATTAAGATTATTATTTGATCATATTTTCTTTTTAATGTTATTGATAAAATTTACACCCCTGTCTTCATAAATTGTTATCTCTCTCTCTCCATCCCATGATTGCCTGGAAGAAATCACTTTAAGCGATAAGGCCACCAATTGTTACATTATTTTGTTAAACTGTTTTAAATTTGTATACCTATATAACTTGTGTAATGTTAACAATAAAGAATTTTCTATTCTATTCTCTATAATGGTATTATTAATATAGTTTTGGTGAACTTCCTAAACATAAATGAGCATATGCTCACTAGTAATGCAAGTAATTCTTAAATTCACAAAACCTGCTGGTTATCTGGTAGTTAAATTGGTTTTAGCAGACGCCCAGACTGTGAGTGTTTATGGGTTTAAATCCCACCTCAAGCACTAATTATCGATATAGTATTGCAAATGCAAAAGTGATCAGAAAAAATAATGATAAATTAATTAATTTGTAAACAAGGACTTTTTCAGTGCCATTTTTATTGGAATTCCACACATGCTTGTAAATACACACTTTTAAGTTTTCCTGTAAAAATACTACAATAGTTTACTTTTTTCAATACAAAATATTCAAAAATTCATGTTTTTATAATCATAGATAAGTTTACTTAAAGCCAAAAGCCCCTACAATCTAATAATGATTTTTACGATGTTCCTATTTACAATGATTGTTTATAATTATGTAAAGTTTTAACAGAAATATAATTTTTCAATTTTAATTTACATTACATGCCTCAACTAGGTGGACCTTATTTATGTTAAGAATCTACATAATATGAATTCAACATTTCAAATTGATAGAGGAATGAAAACCTATTAATTTATCTATAAAATGTAAGTTTTTAATAAAAAATTATAATTTAAGATTAATAATCAAGATATAATTTATTTTATTTTTAAAGTCTGCCAACATTTTTACATATCAATAAGCAACCATTGAACTACTATTATTAGCTCAATGTAAGCAACCACAAAATTACAGAACTATCTATAACAAATAGATGAAACGGTGTACATAAAAAGTTTATTAAACATATGCATGCACTATCACACTTGTTTATCTAGCTCCATAGTTTTCATTTTACATAATTTATATCACATGGATTGCTATGTTCTCATGATGTAGATGAGGAATCTGGTGTTTGATACCCAGATTTTGTATATTTACTTCAGACGTCAGGGTGCTCATTGAAAGTATCTTTGTGAAATAAATAATATTGGATAGAAAATTTTATATGCTTGAAGTGCTAGACAGTTAAAGATTAAAATTTTTTGGTACCTTAATATAAGGTATTTTTATAAATAATTAATGATAAAGCAAACATATCAATGGATTTACACAACTTATTATGTTCTTTACAGTCTATTGATAATTCACTCACAAACTCTTAAAATGTAGGAATTAAAAGTCACAGTGGATTGGAGTATTTAATATATTTCACGTTGTAAATACATAAAAGTCAGATGAGAGTAAAAAAGAGAGTGACATAAAAAACAATAAACAGTGTATAAAATACTAATTCAAAAAGGTATACGAAAAGATGCCAGTGTCTGATTAATATAGAAAAAGGTTTTATCTACACCTCCCCGTAATCAGGACACTTATGTACACCCTTTATATAAACACACTGTATGTACAAAAACACTATAATATCAAAAGTACCTTAACACTGATGCCCTAACCTAATTAACCTAATAACACAAAACAAATAACACTACACTAATCCTAAATTAGTTAGGCACATACAGCTGAGACACTATCTCAGCTTAGGCAGTGGCTTTGTGAGAATGTCTGCTGTTTGGTGAGCTGATGGTATGAATGACACATTGACTTGTTTAGTGGATATAGACTCACAAACAAAATGATGTCTAATATCAATATGTTTTGTGCGGGCGTGATGCGTGTTGTTTTTTGTTAATTTGATGGCACTTTGATTGTCACAATTAATGGTGATGGGTGACGAAAAGCAAAAGATGTCGCTTAGTAATGAGCGAATGTAGATGGCTTCCTTACAGGCTTCACTTAGAGCCATGTACTCAGCTTCTGTTGTTGATGTTGCAACGGTTGTCTGTTTACGTGATTCCCATGACACTGCTGAACCACACATTTGGAAAACATATCCTGTATAGGATCGTCTGTCCACCAGATTACCACCATGATCGGCATCAGCAAATCCGATTAGATCACCACTATTGTTATAGGTCAGTTTCCTATTTTTTATAGCCTTCAGGTACCGAAGAACACGTTTCGCAGTTCCAATGTACCGAGATAAAACCTCTTCTATACAAACACTACAAATATGTTTGCCGAAGTTACTTTTGTAGGGCAAAATGTTTTTAATTATCAATTCTGAAGATGGATCAAGGTATTTTATTTCACTCAGCAATTGGGGGTACCTAATTGCACCTCTTAAAATTTTAAATAATATAAATTGTTTCACATTTATCATTAAACGCTAACTATCGATCGTCAAAAAGTAGAAATTTGCAACTTTTTAGAAATCGTTAATTTTGACAGATGAAACGTTCGGATTTAGTAAGGTTTCAGTAGCGGTTCGATCCAACGAAGTGTCAAAATTTTAGTGGAATAAGGGCCGACGATCGACTCAAGTATATGGACGTAGTTATGCAAACCAGCCACATGATGTCAGTTTTGAGAAAAATGGGTTTCTTGTTTTTAGTAATAATTGTTTGTAGAATATATTTTATTTTATTTATTTATCAAGAAATTTTGTGAATTTACAACATGTGAGTTTAATTGCAACACTTTTAGGCTTCTCTGCACATAATTCGATTTTGACAGATTTGTGGGTTGGTTCCGGTTTGCATAACTACATCTGTATAGTTCTATGTTCGATTGAGCGAGTAGAATACCGTTTACAGTTTCTGTTGATCGATAGTTAGCTAAACTAAAATAGAACCGGAACTGTATCGTTTGACGCCATTTTGACACCGAGTAGAATAGGAAAACCACTAAAAGTTGTAGTTTCGTTCCGTTTTCGATTCGATTTAAACAAAATTTATTTAGTAGAATTGGCCCCCTGGAACACTTGGTAGCGGCGCGCGTTGAAACGTATACAATGAGGTAATACATTGCAAGAGTTTCAAAACACGCAAAGATTTGTGACACAAAACATAATATACTGCTCAGACCGTACAATAGGGATGATGACTAATTTTTGTTTGTTTGTCCGTCAGGTAGAGTGTTAAAAAATATTAAACACGTATTTTTTTATTTTTTTCGTAATCATAAAATTACGGCGTTACATTAAGTTGAAATTTCGCATGACGTCACGTTAGAATACGTTTTCTACTCAACTGTGACGTAGCGAACCCCCACTCCTCAAATTGAATGCCTATTATCTATACTATTTCTTGTTAAATTGAAGTAAAAAAAATACGTATGTAATATTTATCTATTATCTGACTGACGAACTTAATAAAATTGCATTTTTTTACCCAATCATCATCCCTATTGATGAACTCGGTGGCTCAGTAAGTCTCAGAAGATGTGAAACTCAATACGTCTTAGAAGTTGTTGTAAAAGTCAACTTCTAAAAAGTTTGGTAATAGCAGAAATAACTTATATCCCAACGTAACCGTTTAGTGGGATATAAAGTATCCTATATACTATCTTCTTGTAAGATACTAACGGTTTTCTTGCGACTTCACCTGCGTAAATTGTAGTCGGGTGACTATATCATGCGAGAGTTTCTATGATGTAGCTTCCCGTGTGTGAAGGAATTTTTAAAATCGATCCCGTAATTTGAGAGCCTATTCGATGCGTAAATAAACAAACCATCAAATCTTTCCTGATTGTAATATTAGAAGACATACATAAAATTTATATACCAAACAATATTTTTATCATTTTAAATAAAACTACACTGAAAGTGGCGCGTCATTGTATTGTTTTTAAAACATATTACAATTACAAATGAATTTTCGCGTAGAATGAAACACATCTATTTTTAAGTTTAGTCGAGGGTAATTCATTTTCAATGTTTTCCTACATACCCTAATCCCATCAATAAAAATTTAGACTAATTGACATTTTGTTACATCGTCATCAACTCTCGTGCTGTGAGAATTTGAAAACCAGAAGACAAGGTTTGACGTAGTCTCATAAAGTCATCATCCACGTTATATACTAGCGTCGCGGTCGCGTACAATCAAATGAAATTATTGAGGAAGACGAGATACAGGAAAGGACGGCTAAAGAATGTTATATCATCAGCAACCGGCGCCATACAGTCAGTAATTTCGTTTTTCCCCACCAGGAAAACAAAAATGGTTATGAGCACATGTGGGTTAAAATTATTGCCACTTTTCTCGAATTCTAATAACAACTATCTAATGAATCGAATAATTACACAATCACTTCATGAACAGCAATGACAAAGATAATTTAACTAATCCCCTCCAAAGGCAGATACGAGTAATTAAACTAACATTTTTATAAAATACATTGGCATTTATGATTACTCGTTCTGATAATTTAAAGCAAATTCATTAACAAATTAAGGGTAGTAAATATTACGGCCATTGTAAGCTTAAAACTCGTAAATTCCTTTGGTATAGTTATGTAGTGATTCCTGTTATTATTATTAGTATTGAAAAGTTTTGATGTAATTTTTATTGTAATTCTTTAAGGTTTGCCTGACCTAGCCTAATATAAATTCAACAATTGACAATGGACTACATTTCACATTTAAAAAGCAACATCGTTATAAAATACAAATGTGGAATAATTTTTCAAATTGTAACAGTGCATCCAATTCGGTAAGGCATAAAAATATTAATATTCGAATATAAATGTGTTTTATATGTTTTTGCAATTCAATAATTAACTCTATTTGTTTATTCACAGGCACCCCAAAAAAACAACCATGGTTTCAGTAATCTAGGGCTTGGGAACATGCCGAATCAATTCATTTCTCAATGCATAGTATTTTGACTACTTTAACTTCTGCAGATTCTGCAGACTTTTGCTTTGGAAACAAATAAAGTTTAGCTTACAAATATATTATAATCTTGGCGAAAGTAAGTATCAAACAAACATTTTCAGACATTGAATTCATAAAAAAGAAATATTAAGGTATTATTACAATGTGCTGATGTTTTGACATTAGACGAAAATAATGTTTTTTTTTTAATTAATTGTCAATTGAAAACACTTATATTTCATTTCAGATGTAACTGTTACACCCAGTATCAAGTTCATTCAATTTAAATTCAGATACAGTACTCTGATAACACAGCAACAATAATATTCACCAATACAGACTTATTGTGAGTATATTCTGCAATCCTTATAATATAAATGTAAAAGAAGTTGAAATGTTGTTGTACAATATTTATACGTACTTTAAAACGAAAAGGTATATGTTCGATGTTCGATTTTTTTATGTCCACCGATTTCTGCGTCAATAGTAGACCGAATTCTAAAATTATTCCATTCGAAAGCTTAAAAGTTTATAACCGAATTGGTAATTTTGTTTTTATAACAAAATATTCAAAAGCCTAAAACTGCCTCTGTGTAAGATCAAAATTCATAAGTTTACTTTTGTTTTCAGATTCATTAAACCTATTGGTGGCTTTCCATCTATAATTGGAAATGTGGTGAAGAAATCCACCGAACCAATTGATAACAAACACGCCTTCAAGAAGAAGCTGCGTCTCGACAACAAGGCTGCCAAAGACTGGTTCCAAAGAAGTTTGGTGGAAGTAGATGAAACTACTGGAGGAGGGAAGGATCCTCGCGGGCTTCATTCATGTGGAGACACTCATGAACAATCCTAATGACTAAGGCGATATTATGTTGAATGATAGGGAGCTGAACCTATGCATGCTACTGAAACCATAAATTTTTGCCAAAATATACAAATTTATGATGTTTATAGATGTGATTTTGCCACTTTTTAAATATATTTTTTATTTGTTTTATGTAATATTAATATGTAATGTATTATAAATAAGTAACTTTTCTGTAATTTCCTAAAATTTTGTTTTATTATTGAGTATGTAAATAAATAAATAAAAGGTCGGTCTGGGTTCTTTATAAGTTTTATATAATTTTTGTATACTTTTTCTAGTGTTTTTCTCTTATTATCTCTGATGATCATCTCAATTAAGGGATGGTCAATATTAATGTTTCTATATTTTCTTTTTTCAATTTCTTATTCTTATTTAACTTGTTTATTGAATAGTGTATGATGTCTAAAATAAAGGTTTTGGTTTATCATAAAATTTAAATTGTTTTATTGTATAATCTTCTTATTTACTACTGATTTAATTCATTTAATAATTATCAAAACTATTTAATTATTAAATATCAGGAAATTTAGGTTTGTAAAGCTATTGCATATGTACACCAGATAACGAAATAGTTATTATAATGTTAAATACACAACTAATCCTCTGAAACTATAGAAATACTAGAAGCATTGTTGTTTTATTATATAATTAAAAAAAGACAAAGTTTTTAGACTACAATTCATATATATATTTGTAATATATTAATATATTTTTTGGTGATTGTAATGTTTTTCAAAAAAATAACTTTAAAATATTTTATTCTCTTAGTTTTTTTGGAACTGTATTTCAAACTGATAATGAAAAATAATATGAAAATGAAAATAAGAAATATTCAAAAGGAAAAATAACTGTAAAGTTTTCAGAGATAAAGTATTGAAACATATTGTGCATTACTCTGTTAATTACAAGTAAAGCTGTGGCTGTACCATAAATAAATATAGCTTTTTGTTGTAGTTGTTGATGTTGTAGTCATGAAGTTGAACATCAAAGTAATTTTATTCCTATATCGCGGATATTTTGCTATTAATAAAATTAATAATTGCGTTCCGCATCGTGATCCTCGACTGTAAACCAGTTGGTCACGAATCATCAACAGCCTGTTAATCTCCCCACTGCTAGGACTCAAGCCTTCCCTGTGGATGGCATCGAATCAAATCGAACTACTGCCGATGCAGACCAACGGCTTAACGTACCTGTAGGTACCACACACATAATACACAATTATTTATTATATTTATTTATTAGACAATATTTAAATAAAATAACTTAACCTACATATTTACACTAACTTAAAAGTTATCTTAATTAGCTATAATACACTATCTGTTTACATTCTATAAATACAATTACTATAACACACAACAATATTTATATACATTCGTCCGAATATTTATCGTATGACATGATGCGCCCGCTGACGTACAATTCAAAAGCCGTTCCACCGGTTTTGCACTACGTAGCGAGCGCATTCGCAAGCCGGCCACCGGACACACGTCGGGAACTAAACACTACACGTGGTCTATGCTTGATAACAATCCGCTTACCGCATTGTAGATTCGCAAAGCTTTACGTATAATAATTAAGTGTATAATTAGATTTAAATATTTCTGCCTATCTTTCTTCTGACTATTGCATGCATTGTGCTTTACGTGTGTGGACAATATACTGTTTACGTAAGTAAATTGAATTATCATTTGGAGTCAATCTCACACACTTCCGAAGGAAGGAGGGGCTCGAGTTATAAGTTTTTCGTCACCCAACCTATGGCTGGCCTTTGTGAAAGTTGCTTAACAACCGTTTAGCAGACTGATCGCGCTAACTATGCGCTATTGAGCTACTTACGACATATTCATTACATTTTAACCACCACATTTTTATATTAATTCAGTCATACATCTCTGTCCTCTATTTCCTCAAATAAAAACAAAGACGTAAGTAGATGTGAGTGTAAAAGTCGACTAAGCAATTGTAATTTATATTGGTCTATTCATTCAAGTAAATCTACTTACTACATAAAGTAATGAGAGACGAAGAGAATCGTTTTATTATTCCATATTAAATATTAAACACGTGAAAGTAGTCTGCGTACGTGTCAGTTACGCTCTTATGCCGAACCCACTAAAAAGAGTTGAGGACAAATGATATAGGTTGCTTTTTATTACAATAAAATGGTTGACATAGGCAATCAAAGTTTGTATGGAAATTCGTCATTATCAAAGATAAAATCATGAAAATTTATATTCAGGTATTTTACACATATAATGAATAAATATTTTTTTTAGCGTTTTTAGAAATGTAAAGTAACTATACCACGCGGCCGAGGCACGGGGAATAGATAATATATATGAGAACGATACGAAGTAGACAACATTAACAGGAGGAAAGCGAGGATGAAAGACTCAGATTAAAATCTGAGTTATGCACATCGGACAAAATTTATAATTAACAAAATAAAACAGACTTAAAAAGGTTTAATGCAATAAAAGAATAATTTACCGTTTATGATAACTTTTTCCTACGACATGAAATAACTTCATTAACAAATTATAGGTTTCGCTGCTTTAACTGCGTCTCTAATAAACCTATTTGTGGTTCAATTTGGAAAGGTCCTTGTAGACTTAAGTGGTTATGACAAATATGTGCAAGATAATTTAATATGCTACTATATCTTCACGATTTCTAAAGCTTCATATTACAGAATGTTGAGTACTAAGAGTATTAAGGTATATATCACTCGTACCCAGTGTCAGGTGCTGAATCGCCTGGTAGCGGAGCGCGTCAAAGTGTGTAGAATGGAAACATACGTTACAAGAGGTTCAATATTGACCTCTTCAAAATTTGTGGGAAGCTTGTTTTAAACGCGAAGGCTCAGCACGCCTCATTTTGCTTTTCGAAGATTTTGCAAAAGTCTCCTCTGATACTACTACAAAATCCCAATGGAACGTTTGGTGGGTTATCAAGTATTATGTTAATACAGACATAGAATTACCGATATACCAAATTTCATCAAAATCTGTTCAGTTGTTTTTGCGTTAACAAACAAACGTACAAATGTCCAACCTCACAATCTTACGCATTTATAATATATACTTTATAATATATATTACTGAGATTTTTATTTAAATAAAATTTGTTTATTTTGGATAATAAATGCACAGTATACAGAAACAGTTTTATGAATAGTATTTATTTTACTATTAAAAGGGTACAAAATATAAATAAGATATGAAAAAGTACAAAGATATATACGATTAAAATATTTTTATTCATATATTTAACCTTATATAAAAAAAAAAATATTTGAACACGCGAACTTTGTATAATTTGACTTTTAAAAGTAAACATCGAATCTTACAAACTATACAGTTTAGAATTCTCTCTCTGATTAATAATATTTCTTCAATAATTTCCAGCAGTTGAAATATTTTGATAATCGTACCACATGAGTAATTCTATTGAATTGGAAGAATTTTAAAATCATTAGGAGAATAACAAATTAAAAATACATGGTTCATACTTTATGTTCTTCATTAAAATTATTAGTAAATAACCTAGTTGTTAAACAGCAATGATAAATTGAAACGTTTATTATTAATTATTCCAAATAAATGCTTCAAAGGTTTTTACCAACGAAGCGCCGAAATCACTCTTTATGATCACAAATATTAAATTTCATACTTCTTTGTCATTCAATTAATGCCCTTTTCTCGAATTCAAGTAACCGTCTGTATAGGATAATTTCATTTCTGCTTAATAAAAAAAAACTTATTAATTCTAACATGAATCCCTCCAAAGTGGCAAAGACAAAGATTTATGTAAAATTTTTATAAAATGCAAAAAATTTCAATTAATGCCCTTTTCTCGAATTCAAGTAACCGTCTGTATAGGATAATTTCATTTCTGCTTAATAAAAAAAAACTTATTAATTCTAACATGAATCCCTCCAAAGTGGCAAAGACAAAGATTTATGTAAAATTTTTATAAAATGCAAAAAATAAAATATTGATTTGCCATTTATGTTGACTCGTTCTGATGATTTAAAACATTTGCTTTACATAATTAACTTATTAAGAGTAGTAAATATTAAGGACATTGTTAGTCTCATAGATTCCTTTGCTGTAATTATGTTGTGGTTCCTGTTATTATTAATAGTATTAAAAAGTTTAAAAGTGAATTCATTAAGGTTTGCTTGACCTAGCCTAATATAAATTCAACAATTGACAAAAGGACTTCATTTCACATTAAATTTTAAAGAGCAACGTCGTTATAATTTACCGTAAAATTATACAATGTCGAATCAAATGTGGAATAATTTTTCAAATTGTAACGGTGCATCCAATTCGGTAAGGCATAAAAATATTAATATTTAAATATAAATTAATTTTTGTATGTTTTTAAAGTTGTTGAAAACAACTTTGACATCAATAATCAAGTGTCAGCAAACCTGCCACATCAGCAGAATCGGGTAAAATATAAGTTCTTTCTCAATGCGTAGTATTTCGATAAGCTTTTTCATTGCGTTGGAAAAAAATAAAGTTTAGCTTACAAATATATTATAATCTTGGCACAAAAAAGTATCAAATAAAAGTTTCCATTTAATTCACAAAAAAGAAACATTAAGGTATTATAAGTACAATATATGAGGCTTCTTTTTGTTAATTGTCAACTGAATACTCTATTTTTCATTTCAGAAGTCACCGTTATATCCAAAAGTATCTGTTCCATTTAATTACCAACTTCATGTAAGTACATTCTACAATCCTTATAATGCGAAGATTAAATAAATTGAAAAATTGTTGTACAATACTTTAACAAACTTCAAAAAAGGAGGTTGGTTGGACGAATGTTCGATCTGTATGTATATTTATGTTTATTGACCGATTTCTTCGCCAAAGGTAGACCAAGTTTCCAAATTATTTTATTCGGAAGCTTATAATTTTGGTGATCATACATTAATTTTATCTAATCGGGATTGGTAGTTTTGT